GTGCCACAGACTGATCGAGTCCATGCCACGCCGCATTACTGCAGTTATTGAGGCAAAAGGAGCCCCGACTAAGTATTGAGTGCTATACATGCACATTCTTTTCATGTTCATTCTTTTCAGTTGGCCAACATTAGAGAAACAAACATTTTTTCATTGGCCTTTAGAATATTCTAATTTTCTGAGATACCAGATTTGATGTTTTCATTGGTTGTCACCTATAAATATCAAAATTAAACGTAATAAACATCGGAAATACATTGGTCTGTGTGCATTGCATGAATATAATGTACAAGTTTCACGTTTTGAATGGAATTACTGAAATATTTTCAACCTTTTGATGATATTCTAATTTACTGGCCAGCACCTGTATTTCTTGCTCCTTTGGGCACAGCAATCTTCACCATAGACCTATGCTGTATCTGGCGCATGCTCGCTGGATCCTCCTCCAACACAAAGAATGGGAGCCCCTTTGGGCACAAAGGTATTGCGACAGCAAAACATGCGCAGAACACTGGCGCAGAAGACCGGCAGAGCACAGTCTCAGCTCAGGTTCACCATCCTGTGTAATTGTAGAGCAGCTGAGTACACCTCATGGAGTTTTTTATTAGGAAGAACTGGAAAATGACGGAATGTGGCGTCAGAGATATTTAAACACTCCCCAGCAAGTAAAAAAGTGGATTTTTGTACTATAACACAGATTATTCAGACCATAAACCAACTGAATTTACACTTTTGACTTCATGAAACTGTTCGTTTTGCTTCTGAGTTTGCATATATGTCTCTGTTGTAATTGTCTCGGAGCTGTTTTATAATCATTACTATGAAGTGAAGTTGCTATTTGCTTTCTTTAGTTTTTTTTTGTATTTGTTCTATTTTGGTGTGTTTTGGGTTGTTTATTGGGGTTCGATTGCAGGGATGGGTTGGTAATAGGGTTGTTAGTCTCTTGTTTAATGTGTTGATGGTGATATTTTTGGTGGCTGTAATTTTGCACTGTGAGCAGAGGCGGTTTTACCATTAGGCATAGGTCGGAGGCCTCTTGGGGCCCCCTTGTGTTGGGGGGCCCATAGCCCTGACCACCGGCACCCCTCTGTTAATGCCACAATATTCTTATTACCAACCTGTCGCAGCAGACGGGATTGGACATGCACACATCTCATTACCATCATTCCTGAACCGCTCAAGATATCATTAAAATTCCAAAAGTGCTGAAAAGATTAAAAATGGGGCTTTTCGTGCATTTACAATACATTATGGTAGCCACCGGGATTCCCTGTCTTGAGCGCAATCAATCACAACACAGATTCAGAGACGTGCTGAGTTTGTCATCCAAAATGCTCCGTTTTATAACTTTTGAATGGCTGATCAGATTCAAATCACAGTTATAGAAATATCGCTACGAGGGTAAATCCTGTTGTACAGCCTGATTGAAACGGAGCGCAGTGCCGCAGTGAAAGCGGATAACGGAAGGGGGAAGCTAATTAGCATAAAAAGCTGGCATGAAATTTTGGAAATGCCTCAAAGAAAATCAACACGATTGATTAGGTGTCCCAGAAGGCTTATATCTGAAGACAGTGACCACGAAAGAAGGACAGATCTCCGGTGACCCAGGGTATGAATGTTTGTTCAGTCTAAATATTTTATTTTTTTTATTTGAACAACCCTCAACTATTTGCTAATTGTAAGATTAAGCTTCATTCCAGCATTATTTATCTTTTTACCATAAATAATTATTTTTGCTAAAACAAATGTTTTTGGTATAGCAGTGCACGGTGTGCCAGAGAAGCACCCCATGGCGGTGTGAGGTGTGCAGGACTCTGCCTGCAGCTGGAGAGAAACTGCTTCAAGGTCTACCACATCAAATAAAAACGTCTGAAAGTTTACAAAATAAATGGTCTTAAAAACTGCTAAAAGACACCAAGGTTCAAACTTTTTAAAGAATAGATGCATTACAGTTCAAAGTTTAAATTGTTTGCCCAGTCATTTTGAAGTTCCTGTTCAGTAATAAATGTAAAAAATTCAAATCCGTTTTTTGCTTTTTTCACTTTTAAGCTGATTTTTTAATGGCTTTAATAGAAATAAATTCAAAATACAAACCATGAAAGCTGAGGTTGTTCTGAAAAAAGGAGAGAGTTACACACACTTTGCACTTTTTATTACAATTTTACAGCCACAAGATAAAAAAAATACCAGGCGGCCCTGTTATAATTATGGTCATAAGAGGGTTATTAAGACGGTGATGCACAAACAGGAAGTGATTAGTAGTCATTCCACTCCAATACAGATGGTGGCGGTAATGCACCAAATTGTTGTTTTCCAAGTGGAGAAGTGAAAATCTAAAGAAACTAAAGAGAAATTGCAGGGTTGCAGAGCGGAGATGGAGAAAGAACAAAACAACCATAAATCATCAAATACATACAGAGCTACTTAAATCATATAATAGTGAGAAATTCAAGAAAAGCATACCTTTCCAAACTCATTCTAGACAATAAACACAATCCCAGAATACTTTTTTCCACCATAAACAACATTTTAAACCGTACATCCAATTCACTTCAGAAAACACCCTCAAATGCACTCTGTGAGGAGTTTGCAGCCCACTTCAGAGGGCAGGTAGACACCATCAGACGGAATATTTTATCCTCCATAAGTAATAAGGTTTTAGATAAATCTGGATGTGTGTCTATACCAGAGGAAACACTGGACAGTTTTGTCCTGGTAGAAGCTGAGACTCTTGATAAAGTTTTCTCCTCAGTGAGACCCACCACATGTGTTCTGGACCCAATTCCAACTTCGTTTTTTAAACAATTTTATGGATCTTTTAGTGATGAGATTTTAAACATGATGAATTGCTCCCTTCAGACGGGGGTCTTTCCTGCTGCCTTTAAAAGGGCAGTGGTGAGGCCCCTGTTGAAGAAGACCAATTTAGATTTTAATGAATTAAACAATTATCGACCGGTATCTAACTTACCATTTTTAAGCAAAATTTTAGAAAAGCTGGTTTTAAATCAACTAAATGATTTTATAAATACAAATAATGTCCTAGAGAAATTTCAGTCTGGTTTTAGGGTGAACCACAGCACCGAGATGGCCCTTCTGAAGATTTTAAATGATTTTAGAGTAAATTATGATAAACAGAAGTTGACAGTGTTGGTTCTACTGGATCTAAGTGCTGCCTTCGATACGGTAGACCACACTATTCTTTTAACTCGTTTAAAACAGATCGGCCTCTCTGGTGCTGTACATAGATGGTTCACATCCTACCTCACAGACAGGACTTTCATGGTGAGTTTGGATACCTGTTCCTCTAGGGTCCATGGGATTACATGTGGTGAGCCCCAGGGTTCAATTTTAGGCCCAGTGCTTTTTAATCTTTATATGCTCCCTCTTGGCGGAGTCATCAGGAGACACGGGGTTAACTTTCATAGTTATGCTGATGATACACAGTTGTACAGCTCTGTGTCTCCTGATGACTCTCGGTCAGTGGATGCACTTTTTAACTGTATTTTAGACATTGAATCCTGGATGGCAGAGAACTTTCTCCAGCTCAACCAGGACAAAACTGAAGTTTTAGTCATCGGTCCTGAGGCCCAGAGAGAGAAGCTTTTACCGAAATTACAATCTCTGTCTTTTAATCCATCTGAACAAGTGAAGAACCTGGGTGTGATTTTTGACTCTGAGCTGACTTTTATCCCACACATTAAAAATATCACAAAAATAGGTTTTTATCATCTAAAGAACATCGCCAGAGTCCGCCCCATTCTCTCTCGGGCCAATACGGAGATGCTGATGCATGCTTTTATCACCAGTAGGATAGACTACTGCAATGCCCTGCTTTCTGGTCTCCCCAAAAAGAGCATCTCAGGTTTACAACTTTTACAAAATTCGGCAGCACGTGTCCTGATGAAGACCAGGAGGCGGGAGCACATGACACCAGTTTTAGAATCATTGCATTGGCTCCCCGTATGTTTCAGGATCAATTTTAAGGTTCTTCTAATGGTTTTTAAAGTGCATGTCAAGTGTGCCTCAGAGTCCTACCCCACCCACGTATCAATTTTAAAAACTGCAACATTGGTAGGTGTTGCCTGGAGGACCGAGAGGGCGGAGCCGCGGCAGTGACGAAGATGACGGCTAACTAGACGAAGCTAGCTCCCTTCACTCTGAGCAGTCATTAGAAGTGGGGGACGTTTCTCCCCCTCCTTACCCAGACACTCGAGAAGAAAGGGACCAAGTCTAATTGGAGGAGACAAGCGGACATGAGCCTTATTGTTTCGAGCTTGTGAGTTGCCTGAAATTACCGGAACCGACCCAACAGAACCACCTCTGAATGTAAGTAGCCGTTAGCCATAGCATTGGATTAGCTGCAGGGTTTGTCTCCACGGCCCGAGAGCTAGTATTCAGCATGTTTTAGAGATTTATCTGCATCAACACACCTGGTTTTAATCAGCAACAAACAGCTGAGCTGCTTAACAGCTTATCTAACCTATTAAAGCAGGAAAATCCACTGAAACGTGCTGGATAGCAGGTCTCCAGGAGCTCTGGGCTTAAGCTACAGTCTGCTGCATAAAGTTATGAAACTACCCCATGAGAAAATTATTCTGTAATGTGTTCAGCCCACTAAAACTGCCCTGATTTCATTATTTATTTACTGATACTAGCTGCTCTTGGTTGCAGGTGATCCTCTGGTGTCTGCAGCTGGTCTCCTGCTGGTGTCGTCAGGATCAGGAGCTTCCAGAAGAATGTGCCTTTCAATGACTCTTTCCCCCTTATTTGTTATATTAATTAAATAAATCAATTTATATATTTCCTGTTTTTGTTCATGTCCATAAATACTCAAACATGCTTGAAATTAAAACGAGCTTTTAACAGTGAGGTGCTAGTTTAGTTCATCACAATAGAGCTAGATAAACATGCGACAATGTGATAATTCAATTAATGTAATTTATAAATATCCATTAAAATATCAAAACTGGAATCAAAATGAGATATTTGGCAGCACAAAAAACTTGTCAAACACAATATTTATTATAATAATTGTAGGCAGACAGGAGACAGAGCTGATGGAGGTTCTCAGTCATCGAAGGATGGCTGAAGGCTTTCCAGGAACAGGAGATGTGGTGTTGTCTCTTCTCTCTCTATTCTGCCAGATGAGCTGGTAGGTTACAGGTGTGTGAGGACATCCTCATGCTCTCATAACCAGATGACAGGTGTGTGAGGACATCCTCATGCTGTCATAACCAGATGACAGGAGTTATCAGGTGATCAGCCAGGCTAATGATGAGATGCAGAAAGAAAACAAATCCAAGACAGTGTACAGTAATAAAAATAATATGTGGTGTTGCTCACCTTATGTGCTCTTATAGAGTTATTAACGTGTGCCTGCCTCATGGTGTAGAGTCCATATTTTGCTGAGTGTCCTGCAGTAATGCAGGTTATTAGTTAATTTACTTTTGATAGCAAAAACAAAATATTTAATTTAAAAGTTATTTACCAGGTGAATCAGCTCACACGTCACCACCAAGTGTCACAGGGCCAGAATCAGTAGCCTCCTTCATGATGTAATCACATACTTATTTAATAGTTAATATCTTAAAAATTCAGAAATATTTTAATTTTTTTACCTTGAACAGTTCACTGAGCTTGCACTGTCACTGAGGTGGAACCTGGAATCAACAGCAGACACCTCACATCTTGGTCTTTTCAGGAGGTGTGGATGCTCTGGGACCTTCTGGAAGATGAATTTCTGTCATGGTCCCTGTGTCACAAGACACTGAGGCTGTGAGCTCTATAAAAAACAAAGAAGCAGCACATTTATAAACGTTTAAAAGAGCATAAAATCACTTGTAACAATCTGTAAAACAAATTAAAACTAGAAGGTAATAAAATGTTTACATAGAAGATTATTAAAAATAATTCACCTTTGCTACGGGTAACACCACGTCAGCCTGGACAAATGCATTCTTGCAGATTACTAAATCAGTCTGACAGCCAGTGTCTTGTGTAGATTTAGCCTGAAAAAAAATAGAAGCACATTGATGTTTATAAAGTCAGATAAAATACAAAAGAAACTGTCCCATATAGGCGCTTTATAACATTCCTAGTGTGTGATGTTATTATAACGTAAAAGTCAGTCACACATGATGTGGAGATCCTGAAATGCGACCTCCTGGACAGAATTCCTCACGGAACCGGGTCACGCTGTGCTGGATTTCATGCTGTAATGCTGTCTGTCAACTAGTGCTGCATTAGTTAGAGTCACTGTTGCAGAATTACCGACTGACACAAAAACAGCCCGAATTTTCTCTGAGCCTGACAGTCATGTGGACCGTTTTGTCGGCCAGGGCTTCGAGATATGTTCCGATTTGCCGCTGATTCTAACCTTACATCCCGTTCCACATTTTGTGAACTTGACAAATCAGCCCGAAGGCAGTGCAGGCTGATATTAGCTAAATGGAGTGAACCACGTCTCTCAAACTTTGCATTTAGGAAGGGAATTGTCTTTAGAAGATGTTAAAACTTTTATTTAGCTTACTCACCTCAGACTGGAGCCCGTCATGGTGGGGGAGCAGAGTCGGTGGGCTGTATCTAAATCGCGGAAGAGCCACGGTGGGCACAGCCTCCCTCTTGGAACGGAGACGTGCAGAATCGCGGGTAAAATGCTGGTTGCAAACTACAGCACCAGGCGGGAGCTGAATGTTTTCCAGACACGCAACCACTGGCGCCTAATTTCTAAGTCCAGCGGTAAGGAGTGCAACCCGACAGAGCTCCGCAACCATACTACACTACGCCATCTCACCATGCTAACACGATATGGAACACTAAACCCGAACTACTTTCCTAATTACACTAACAGCCAAACAGTAACTAAACTACAATATCCAACAGCCAAGCTAACACTAAATAAGTATGTATAACACTAAAAGCTATGCTAAAGACTAGGATATGCTAATGCTATATGCTAATGCTGAACTACGGCTAGCCTCCTACACTCGCTTGCAAATCCAACTCCCAACTCGCCACAAGGCGTGGCCGAGACTCCCGATGCTTTTATAACGTTGACACAGAGCTGCTACGTAGTACTCTACTGGTTTACGTAGTATCTTACTCTTTAGCCATTGGCTAAAATTTATTCAAAATGAGTCAAATTCTATGTTTTAAGCTGAAGGTGGCGCTATACTGTGGTATTTAGGCAGAATTTTTAATTTTTAAAGAAAATGCACCAAAATGCTAAAATAATGAATACACACATTTAAAACACTATTAGACACTCATTTATACAGTTCATCAGCAAAAAAAAATTAATTTAGACGTTACTTGCTCGTTAAGTGTCTTAACGGTCTTGGGCCTTCTTATCTATCAGAACTGCTTTTACAATATGAACCCTCGCGGCCTCTGCGCTCCTCTGGCAGGCGTCTCCTGGTCATCCCTAAAGTCAGGACACAAACTCACGGCGAGGTGTCCTTCCAGTGTTGTGGCCCTCGCCTCTGGAACGAGCTGCCAGAGGACCTCAGGGCCGCAGAGAACGTTAATGTTTTTAAGTCAAGACTCAAGACCCATCTTTTTAGGTTAGCTTTTATCTAAATATTTACTACAGTTTTATTTCTTGTTTTACATTATTATATTTTATTACTTGCTTTGCATTTTTATATGATTATATTTTAGCACTGTTTTATTATTTAATATTATTATTTTACTGTCTATATGATTTTATTTATTACTTATTTTCTAACTTTTGTCATTTATATTAGCTCTTTTATTATATTTTTACTCATTTTAATCCAGTGTTTCCTCTGTAGGGGCCCTCTGCCCCGGGAGCGGTGGTCGACTGTTGTTTCCTGGGCGCTCTATAGGTGGGGGTCTATGCTCCCCCTCCACTGAGCGCCCTGACTTAGTGTGGAAGACCTGATGCTCCTGGGACAGACGGCTCCTCTGATGGCGTTTCCTTGCGTTACCATACTTGGCTCATCTGGGCTCAGCCAAATATAATTTTTACGTGTGTGTGTGTGTGTGTGTGTGTGTGTGTGTGTGTGTGTGTGTGTGTGTGTGTGTGTGTGTGTGTGTGTGTGTGAAAGAGCCTGTGTGTGTCTGTGCGTGTGCGTGCATATGTCTGTTATTGTTTTTAACCTGTTATGGGAATCTGGGGTCATTTTGTAAAGCACTTTGAATTGCACTTTGTTTGAAAAGCGCTTTATAAATAAATATGATTGATTGATTGAAGTGCCATAAGACCACAAATAATAATAAGAAGAGAGGCGGCAGCGTTCGTAACAAACTCAAAGCGATAGTCAAAACATTAAGCATGACATGGAGTTAGTGGCTCCAATAAGAGAAAGAAGCAGCTTGCTTCATAAAAGCTTTTATTTTCACTTCTGAATGTGACGTCATTTCTCGATGTAAACATCAAAAGGAAGCAGAAAGGAAAGACAATGGAAAATGTTTCAAGGGAGGAAAACATAGACCAAAATGGAAAATAGAAAAAAAAATAACTAAGGCTAAAGCACAGGAGCCCTGACAGGAAGAAGAAAGCAGAGCAAATATTGAAAGCGCTCAAAGGGAAATACAGGAAAAAAGAGGAGGACTAATAAAAAGGGAAAATAACTCATGTCAGAAGAGGGGAGAGTTTCGCAAATCCAGTTAAAGGTAAGATTGTCGAAAATTTAATGTAAGGGGCCCCATGTCTGTGTTCGCCTTGGGCCCCCAAATTGTTAAATCCGCCTCTGACTGTGGGTAACAAATCCGTGTCGAGGAATGGGACCGCGGTGCTGTTCGGCTGTTCAGTACAGAAGTTCAAAGTAATTGCTAGTTCCTCTATCAATTCTTTTGCTGGGTGGTAGCTGTTAGTATTTTTCTCCGTCTATCGCATATTTTTACAGAATCCCAATTCAAAAGGTATGACCTATACATTTTACTTGTAAAACTGTAGTGTTACCATTAAGCTTTCAGGTAAATCACCTTTAAAATGATCATGTTACAAGCAGGGTTTTGCTTTGAGAGAAAGATGAACGTTATTATTGGACTGAGACATTTAGTTTTTTTATCCTGATTCTGTTATGTACTGTTCAGTGGAAATTGTAGCACATTTCTATAGCTTTCCATAAAGCAATTGGAATAAACTAGGTTTTTTATTGTTTTATTCATGAGTAAACGTTGCAGGCAGTAAGAAAGAACATTTAGTGCTTTTCCACAAATGCAGAACATTTGGAAGAACTTCCTCTGACTCATTGTCATTTGTTTGCATCATCTGCAAGCCACAGTCTCGAGAGACCAAGCACAATATGAAGATTTAGAAGAATGAAAAATATTGGATGCCAAGTACACTGATTTGATATGTATCGATTCAATCCTGGAAGAGCTGGAGCAGAAAAAGACACAACTCACTCTAATCAGATAAAAGATGTTGTAACACAAGTATAACGCAAAACAAAAGCATAGTTTAGTTTATTCGACAATCACCTGTAGCATAGGAGAGGCCTTGTCTTGTCCCAGGACCCTGCTATCTGCAGGTTGGGTCCGTACCTAATCACAGATTAAATCTCACCAGTGGTGCATCAGATTAAGATCACAACCAGTTACAAAGATCCTGTGTACAAGTGGGTTCACAGAATCCACGGAAACCAAATCAAACCTCACAAAGTAGCAACAAACGTAGGTGACGGTCACACCACCTCTCAGATTACTCAACTCGAATCGCGGGGTTGGGGGGTCTGTGTTTTGTGTGTGCTGGTGTGTGCCTGCATGCAATTGATGTCCTAGTCTACTAGTTATGTTTACAAACAGACTTGGTTGGCTTTGATGATCTCACACTGTGGGCTTCTGGAGTTCAGAGGTGATCAGACAGCTAAAAGCTGTTAAAGCCAAGATAAATTCTTCATTTCATATTTGCACAATTTTTTTATAATCTTTTAATTTTTTTAAATTCTAAATTTGTATATGTTCATTTAGTTTTCTATTAGTAGAACATACATATATCCTTAATGATTAAACACTTAAGTTGATTAAAGAACGAGGAGCGACGGGGAAAATGATTAAACATCTTACACATTTTTGATAATTTTCCATATAATTTTTCATGTTTTTAGTATTTTGATTTACATAATTTACTACATAATCTTTCTACTATTTTAAGTGCAGTGCGTCATTACTCTCTTCCCATCACTCAATCACTTAAACCTATACTTCAACTTTGATTTACTCATTGTAGACACGCGTCAACTACATAATTTAGATAATCTACATACACATTGTCTTCTTCTACCATCTGACACCAGTTGTGAGTAGAGATGCTCCGATCTGATCACGTGTTTTTGAAATGATCGGAATCAGGAGAGAAAAAAAATCAGATTTAACCTTTTAAAACAACAAACTTGACTTTTAAAATTACTCCTGAGATAGAGATGTTCTAAATGGATAAAAACAGGCTTCGTTTTGATTTCAATAAATCCCTCTACATCATCATTATTTGTTTCTTGTACGAAAACAACACAAACCTCAGATGAAAAATGTTTTTGGATTTTGACGGCTGGAATTGTAAGAAAATCTGATGTTTGTGACCAGCGCAGGAAAAACAGAAACTAACTTCCGGTCTAAGCCCTGGGCAGCAGTTGACGTTTCA